ACGACGCTGCGTTTCTTGAAACACCCTCTGAATACTAAGCAGATAACAATTTGGGGTAAGCATATGGGACATTTCACTCCGGTTCCTCACCTAGTTCCTCTTTTGGCTTTTACAGAGCGCTGAACTGGCAATCTCGACTAAAGCCGCATCAGGCGGACGTGCGCACAGACCACTGACTGTTACCCGCAGCGCTATTCCACGTGGTTCGAGAGGTACCATTCCCCACAAACCCGCGCCACGTGGTTTAGTCGAGTGAGACGGATCCACCTGCTCAAGAACGTCGCAGGAGAGAGACGATCTGGATTTTCCCAAGGTCCCGGAGCCTTTTGCTGGCTTTGTGCACTCCTCAGTAATTACCCAGCGCTGTCTCTAAGTGCTGCGATTACAGCTCTTTATCTGCCTTTCTGAAAAGGCATCTCAGCAGATTGATTGTTATCTTGGCAGAGGAGCCTTTTCTGCCGCCCCTGCAGCAGCTCTATTTATTTTCCCGACTTTAGTCTGTTGCTCGTGATCTAAAGATACTCGACGTAAAAAAAAAGAGCAGCCCTAGGACATTCAGCTGCAAGTCTGCTTGTTGGCCAGGTCTGCCAGATCCCTCAGCTGACTCGCTACCAATAAATAAATCCCTCTTCATTTTTCTTTCCTCCAGGGATCTTGCATCTATACTGCACTTGCATCTAACCTGCCCTGCAGGCAGGCCAGAAAGAGCAGTGAAGCAGGACACTGCCAGCCGCCCCGGAGTGCTTCTCCAGCCACACACCCACCCTGCTAGCACCCTTCCCTTAGCCAAGCCAATGGCACTGCTCGGTCTATGCAGGAAGCACTAGGAGCAGGGGTTTACCGTCAGGCTGCAGATATCCTCCTCCACCGCATGCTTCGTACGCACACGGCGCTCCATCTCTCTCTGGTGAGCTTGCAGCGCATCTTCAAGCTGTTTCTATGAATACAAAACAAGCAGAGTAGCACAAAGCTCTCTAACAGAGCGGCAGCCCTGTACACAGCACTGACTCTAGAGGCAGCTGTCCAGGTGCATGAGAAAAAGAAAAAAAAAGACGTTGTGGGAATGTGTGTGTTTTGGGAACAAGGGCCCTCACTACATATTACACAATTAACTGGTTAACCACACAATAAATTTAGACCAGTCACACTTGCAAAGTAAGGCCAGCCACATGTGCAAAGTATGGCATAACTAACCAGTGAATTGTGTGATCATTAAAGTAGACTGGGCACATGTGCAAAGGAATCATCACGCCATAAATGTGTCCACCCAACTATAAAGAAAACCAACCTGCTACAAAGATAGTGCTTGAAGATGTGCAACAACCTTGTACCTAGTTTCTAAGCAGCTTTCATGTGAACGTGCGCTGGGGCCTACGTTTTGTACATGCTAGTGTGAAACCACAGTGTGAGACCACAACGGCCCCATCACCCCGCTCTCAGGCTGCCTGTTACAGAAGGCCTGACAAGCCTCTGCCTGGAAGAGGCAGGGGCAGAAACTCCCCTCTCTCTTGGTTACGTGGCACCTAGCACACACGGGCCCCATGCTGCACGCAAACAGCCGGTGCAACCATGCACGACAAGGAGCAGACTTCAGTCTGTAACATGCCAGGGGCTAAAAAGGGCACTGGGGAGCCAGTGCTGCCCTCTGCACAGAGTACGGACAGGGAGGCGATTTCACAGCTAAATGAACCTGGCTTGGAAACAAGTGGGAGAGACACTGGGCGGGCACAGCACCCGGGCCTGGCGCCGTGGCTCACCTGTATTTGCCTCCGGTGCTCCTGGAGGCCGTAGCGCCGCACCTTCTCCACCACCCCCGCTACCAGGTAAGGGGTGCGGAAGGTGCGGCCGGGGATCTCCCTGCGGCACTGGGGGCAGGAGGGCGGGTGCTGGCTGCTCTGCCAGTGGGCCTGGATGCAGCCCTTGCAGAAGTGGTGCATGCACTCCAGCATGACCGGCTCCGTGAAGAGGTCGCAGCAGATGGCGCAGGTCAGCTCCTCCAGCTGTGCTGGGACCCTCCCAGCACCAGGGACTTCCCACAGGCCCGGGCCCCAGGCAGCTGCAGGGCAGAGTCCAGAGTCCAGGCCAACTGCGCGGAGCTGCTTTCACTTCCCTCCACGTCAGCAGGACACAGCCCCGAGCAGCCGGCCCCGCGGGGACCCCGATGCCCAGCACAACCCCGGCCCGGCCC